TGTCTTAGTACCATAGGCTGCGCTCTTTTATACTTTCGAACAATCGGGGACCGTCGGCACTTTCCATGAAAGAGAAATTATTTTCCCGGCAAGCAAACCGGTCTGTGCGAAGTATGGAAGATTTTTTCGTTAGTGGTGCGGCTGACACAAAGGATGCTCACGGTTCAGAAGTGACTTTAAGAGCTTGACGTTCAGCAGTAGCAAACTAAGTGTGATTTAGGTACAGCAAAACCTCGATATAATGACCCTTGTTTCATTTACTATCAGCATATTTCAAAGTCACCATTTTCCCTTTTTCTTAACATTCCTCTTTTACAGCGCCAAAATATCAGGCTGGACAATGGTGACAGTGTAACCAGGTTTACTGTCATCTCTGGCTGGACAATGGTGGCAGTGTAACGGGCCTTCCCGTAATATCTGGCTAGACAATGGTGGCAGTGTAACGAGGTTTACTGTCATCTCTGTCTGGACAATGGTGGCAGTGTAACGAGGTTTACTGTAATCTCTGGCTGGACAATGGTGGCAGGGTAACGGGGTTTACTGTAATATCTGGCTAAACAATGGTGGCAGTGTAACGAGGGTTACTGTAATCTCTGGCTGGACAATGGTGGCAGGGTAACGGGGTTTACTGTAATATCTGGCTGGACAATGGTGGCAGTGTAACGAGGTTTACTGTCATCTCTGGCTGGACAATGGTGGCAGTGTAACGGGCCTTCCCGTAATATCTGGCTAGACAATGGTGGCAGTGTAACGAGTTTTACTGTCATCTCTGGCTGGACAATGGTGGCAGTGTAACGGGGTTTACTGTAATATCTGGCTAGCCAATGGTGGCAGTGTAACGAGGTTTACTGTCATCTCTGACTGGACAATGGTGGCAGTGTAACGAGGTTTACTGTAATCTCTGGCCGGACAATGGTGGCAGTGTAACGGGGTTTACTGTAATATCTGGCTAGCCAATGGTGGCAGTGTAACGAGGTTTACTGTCATCTCTGACTGGACAATGGTGGCAGTGTAACGAGGTTTACTGTCATCTCTGACTGGACAATGGTGGCAGTGTAACGAGGTTTACTGTAATCTCTGGCCGGACAATGGTGGCAGTGTAACGGGGTTTACTGTAATATCTGGCTAAACACTGGTGGCAGTGTAACTAGGTTTACTGTAATCTCTGGCTGGACAATGGTGGCAGTGTAACGAGGTTTACTGTAATCTCTGGCTGGACAATGGTGGCAGTGTAACGAGGTTTACTGTAATCTCTGTTTGGACAATGTTGGCAGTGTAACGAGGTTTACTGTAATCTCTGTTTAGACAATGGTGGCAGTGTAACGAGGTTTACTGTCATCTCTGACTGGACAATGCAGGCAGTGTAACGGGGTTTACTGTAATCTCTGACTGGACAATGGTGGCAGTGTAACGGGGTTTTCTGTAACCTCTGTCTGGACAATGGTGGCAGTGTTACGAGGTGAAATGTACATTGGGTACGTTCGATATTCGCGTTTCCATGTAAAACATTCGAAAATCCTATCGCTTATTTTCAAATCTGTGTCATTTTCGTTTGACAGAATGATATAATTTAAAGCAAGTCTTGTTTTTGACATCCATCAATGAATAACTTGTCTCAGGGTCTTCAATACAAAGACAAATTTTGCACAGGTTCATAAGTATAGACATTCCTATGACATTTTACCTTTAAGCACGTGATCCCTGGAATCTTTCCGATATAAATATAGAACTTGTATTGGCAACGTAATATGTTTACGCAACCATGATGTATCGTACCGGGACAAAAGGGTGCGTGGTCCACTCTGTCCCAATTTGTCATGAAGTTGGGACTATTACATTCAGTGGAATTTCTACGATTACACAGGGGACTTCTTCAAGAGGAAATCCCAAAATAACATTTTTTTAAATGGAAATCCCTAGAAATACTGTAACCCAACTATCCGGAAAATTCACTAAAGATATACTATTAAAGTTATTCCATGAAATTGACCACACTGGGATATCCCATGAAATTAACCACACTGGGATATCCCATGAAACTGACCACGCATGAAGGGAAATCTCACCTTACTGAGAGACTCGAGAGAGCGAACGTTTCCAAAAATAGGCCAAACTGGTGATGCTAATAGGGAAAGTACACGGGGAACTACGGGAAGGTCTTTTTATGAAGAATTCTAGAGAAATAAATGACATTAACAGGAAACTAAAGTAATCTATGAGAGCAGACATACTAATACGGAAATATCATGAATGGCTTGACTTATAGGAAAGTTCAATCGCTATTGGGAGTCAAGATAGTTAGGAATTACCAGTATTAATGGTCCCGTTATATTCAGTAATGAACAAAGCCCTTGAGTACAACAGATTAGTATCGGGTAGTATGCGTCCGTCTCGTTCGAATGCTAAGGAGCTTACACGAAATGTACTTTTAAACGTAATTGATACATACAAAAAATAATCAAGGGCATTTGTCAAGGTTAGTTTAATTATAAATATGTATTGATCAACAAAACAATATTGACGCACGCCATATATACCATTTGATAATTAATAATCTGAAATAAAAACCCACAATAACATGTGGATTGTTCTTATGTAAACAATGGATATAGGTCGCCTACAATAGACATTTCTTTTGTTTACAAGCATGTATACAAAACAAGATCCTTCCAGCGTCTTGTTAAATTTGTAAAATGTTTCTGATTATAAACAATCGGATGAGCAAATAGCGTGTTTAAAACAACAAGAATATCTTCACAGAAAATGCATACTAGCAATTGTCTGTGTTCAATTTTTCAGTATTGTATTGTTTGCTTAATGGATCGCAAACTCATTTTTCGTCAACTCTTTTTTACCGACTAAAATTCAAAACAAGAAATACAAGCATTATTATATTTTTCTTATATTCAAAAGTTGATTTAGTTTAAATTTCACAACATTCATGATATCTGTAAACTTTCAACAGATAGGCGCCGGTCTGATTGATTTCAATTCGATCTTATTTTAATTCGAAATACTAGCAAAAAACTATCAATCAAGTCGTAGATTTTACTACGAACCCAATGTCGCTTGTAATCACAGGCAACTGAGTTTCGATGATGAAACAATAAATATGTAAATGAATAAGAAAAAATAAAAAAAAAAAATAAAAAACTTCTTATTCTGCTATCTCAACGCTTTTTTTTTTGTTTTGTTATATCAGAACCTCGATACATGTCTCCTCGATTAGGTAATATTTCAGACATCAGTCAACAGCCGCACGTGCAACACAGAATAAAGGTTAACAACAAACAAAAATATATTATCAACACAACAACAACAACAACAACAACAACAACAAAAGTATATATTGTAATTATAGAATATCCGAACGATCTCTCGTTTTAAATTCCTCTACATATGGTGATATAGGGCTAAATACATTATTTCTTTAAATTGAAAACTTTGGCAAATTTGCTTCTTCAAAACTTGGAACAAAGCATATAGTATACTTATAATATAAAACACATACTTAGAAATTTTCAATGAGTAACTTTTCTATGAACAAAAAATAAAGCATGTTTACCTTAGGAGACTTTTTAAAGTTATGGTTTATATATACTTGGAATCCAAGATTTTCTCCGACCCTCAGTACTGGGATTTCGGGCCAAAGACACTAGTATCGAAAGATTAAGACTACCAGCATCAATGCAGCAGGATTTTAATTTTGACAAATTGATTGTTTTAAAGAAACGTTCTTTATATACATTTATATCGTTAGCCTCAAATTATTTTAAAGGTGCGAACCGAAAAAAACAAATAAGAAATGATATTTATCATAATGTATAAAAAAAACCATTTATGGTAACGATCATCAAGGTATATTTATGTCTTAAGGAAACTCAGACTTTCGAAATAGCAAAAACGACGAATGGAGGTTAGCAATAGTACAGTTGAACGTCGATTATCCGTAGTCCGGTTAATCAAAAAACCGGGCGTCTCTTTATGGAACTCAACTATCCGGAATCCGGTTAATCGATCACCAGGACGTCTAATATCCAGAACTCAATTATCCGGAATCAGTGTTTGACCTAAAGAGATACCCCATTTTCTACACAAGTATTTCTGGTTGAAGATTGTCCTACTTTTTACTTTAAAACAAACGCTATAAAGATTGATTTGTCACGTTTGGGTAGATCCATTAGCAAATCTTCTAATGAAAAACATGTTTTCGGTTATGGCGAGAATTTTTTCTGGTGATGCGGTGTGTTTATATTTTGTTGAAGATGGTTATGAGGAGGGGGATATTAATAATAACAAAATAATAATAAAATTACCTTCTCATTATTTTGTTAATACCTTCGTTGTAATTACCCCTGTGGGATAAGGGTATTAATTATCACTTTTAATAATGAAGTTAAAGAGCTATGATCCGTGTATGCCCCTAATGAATACCGTGTACAGGTGACCAGGAGTTTCCCTGTATCGTCAATACCTTAACCGTAAATATAATTGTACTGCATTATGAATATGGAGATAAAATCCAATACATATCTGGGCTTTACGTGTTAAAAGCCTGGTTAGCTTCGCGCAAATATTTAACTGGTTCAACTTATTTCACATATCAAATGATTAAATAAATTACAAAAGGAAAGGAAGCATATCATTGGTTATATTGGATGATTTGGACAGAGAGAAAAAGAAGATTTATAAATTTTATTTATAAGATGGTTAAGTTGAGGAAGCTTTTGTTCGGGTAAGCTGCCTTTCCAACACATAAACCGGCGGGTCGATCCTTTTTAGCTGGCTTCCGACACCAGACACCCGTTTTAGATGTGGTGGGGTGTATAGCACTGTGACTAAATTACATTATGAAAATTACATCCGTCTACTACATTTATGAAACATAATCCCTGGTGTTACAATATTAAACATTTTGGTAATATCAGTTAAAAAATTTGTTAATATATACNGGGGGGGCGTCGACTGTCGTTTAAACTTCGTAGTCATATACAGGGCGTGACACATAACCCCACCCTACGATCTGTATGTACCAGTATATGTTATTATGATACATAGGGGCCATTTGTATTTAATATATGACCCTAATCTAAGGTGTATAAAAAATACTTTAAAATATTCTCGATTATCGTAAATGGTACTATATGATATTTCAAATGAAAATACACACTGTAAAAATACCACAAACAATCGTCTATTAAGGGAGGAAGTTATTGATAGGAAATAACACTCGTGCCTTTCCGGCAGGCACGGGGAAAACTTCCGGTAATTCCCAAAGATATCCGATTCGGATAAAGTTTATACGAAACAACAGATAAATCCCTTCGAAACTGTAAATTCAAGAGAATGTAGTCTCGATGGCAACGAGCAAGTAGTCGCCATGGCAGCGAAAAAGTGGTCTCCATGCAAACAAGAAACGTAGTCTCCATGGCAACAGAACAGCACCATGACATGAAGAGGATGGCTCCTCGCCGTCAGTGGCTTTTTTTTTTTTAAATACAAAGGATCACGTTGAACATAAATTGTACGAATTATGGACACGTCTAGACAATAAAACAACATCATCATCTTTGTCGCCCATAGAGCAGCATTTCTTATGCCTATTATATGTACATTTTAATACTACGGCGGCTTATTGCACGATTCAATGGTGGCTTTTTTTTGTTCTTCTCGTTTTTTCTTTTCGCGAGCGAGAGTTTTCGCGAGTTTGTTGACATCGCCATTTCTAAATGATTCCAAAATTTCTACACTTCTTTTCACACGTTTCTTGGCATTTTCCATTTTCTGATCTTGAGCAAGCCTACTACGTGAAGACGCTGGTTTTGCTTTAAAATCGGGCACTGTGTTTAATCTAGTAATCATCCATGCCTGGTCGTTTACTCTACTCGGCGGCGCCTGTGCTACCGATGGAGGGGCTGAAAGACACACGGTTTGAGCAAAATCTCCTGACATCGACGCTACTGCGGACTGGTCTATTGAAGGTGCAATAGAGGGCGCCACAAAACTATTTTCCGCAAAAAATTGATCACCCGGATGCTTTTCGTCATCCACTCTTTCCCTATCTTCCAAAGCCATACCGGAATATTTAGAAAGCCGGCTTTTAGACTTAACATTTTGCTCATTATATTGGTCAGACTGTTTTAGGAATACTGGATTAAGAAGGTTTTCCAAACGCTTGAATCGCATATCTTGAGATGGAGTTCCTGATTCCAACATGGTCTTGCCTCGGTAGGTGTCGTAATGTTTCAGTGCGTCATGATCTATGACTTCAACTTCAGGTAATTTGTTCATGAACGTTTTGTCATTGTGCGTTATAATTTCGGTTGTTTCTTTGCTAATCCCGAAAGGCATTTTCACTTGCCTTGGCGTAGAAGTGGTAATATTATATCCTGACCCAGTTCCGTTTCCGTTTCCGTTTCCGGTGCCTGTTCCAAATCCATTTCCGATTCCGGCGGATGCAGACTTCAGTCGCGGTCCTCTACTCGTTTTCACTCGATAATCCGGAAGTCGGTAAACAACATCCATTTCTTTTGGACGTCTCTCTTCGGGAACAGAAAACATCGGGAAATTCATATTTGACAAGCGTGTTTCGTCATCTCTTTTCCATTTCTTTTGCTTCCGGTCTTGCACAGCAACGAACGTTCTCTGTGTTAAATCGTTGGCGTTGGATTGCTTGAGCTGTCGGAGAGTCAGGTCACTCATGGTTCGCTCCAGTTGTCGGTCCTGACTCATGTTTTCGTTTAGAATCACATGAGAAAGGGCCGTCTTCGGTAAGGAATCCCTCACACATAAGTATTGTTTGATTTTAATGTTTTTGGTATCCGCTCCTTGAATGTAGGAAAATCCATCGGCAGAAATATCAAACTGTTGAGACAAATCGCCTCCACCTGAGTCGAGAGGCGTCATAATTTCCATCTTACAACCACACACAATCAGTTAACTTAAAACGAATTTGTGTCCTTTTCAAGACAGAAGAACTCTCACCTTTAGTATGAAGTATTAGTGCCGTCCATGTCTTAAGTATTGAAAAAAATGAACACGACTGGGATTTCCTGAATTCAAAGCTAACGAACTAAAAACAATTTACAGAGACACATATGATTCACACTTTCAACAGTACATGTGATGGTTTCCGTGGCGTCATGACTGTTGAGCTAGTCCCGGGAGTTGAAATTCAGAACATTCTCCTTTACTGGTGCTACACCACAAGGCATGGTTGGTGCTTGGTTCGTTCCGTTCTCCAGTCTGGAAAGAGTCAATGTGAACATAGAACCTGTCAACACCCTGCATGAAATATATAGGTTTAAACTTATCAATTATACAGTATCTGCTGGATCTGCCTTGGTCCTTTTTTCTCTTCAAACAACACCAGATTATCTGTTCTCCGCGCATGGATGCCTTCTATGGTATCAATACTGGTTGTTAAACTCGTGTAAAACACTAACAGCCAAACCACTGCGTCATAGCCCCTTGGCTATAGTGCATCCCTGACTTTATGGGTTGGACTTCCAGCACTACACAATACAGAATGCCTCTATTGTACCTTCATTGTTCAGTCCGATAGCGATCGTTCTATTCACCGGAACCGACTCTGCAATCGACCCGGAACAAACTTATGAATATTGATACCTAATTGAATGATTATATAGGTATGTAACGTCTCTGCTGGAAAGGTTATCGTAGCTATATATTTTGTAAAACAGAATTGTATATAGCGGATCTGGAGTTTCTGACGAGCGCTGACTTTTAGAAGCGACAAAAGTTCTTGGGGTTTTTCACAGTTTACAAACTTGTCCATACGTTTTACATGTAACATGAGTTTGCTATAAGTGCCCCAAAATGTCTGTAGTCGTCCATTAACTGTTGTATATACACATGGTATTGACGCATTAGGTAATTGTAATTCGACGATTAAAGGGATTACCATAATTATCATAGGAGCTATATCCCTTAAAAGCTAAACATACAGATGCTTTTGTTTAGTAAATTGAGGCCAAGGAACTTCAAGTGGATTAAAGAATGTCTTTTCCTACATAAATGTCAGGACAATGGTAAAACCGGAATGTTCGAAACCAATAAAACAATGACGTGAATCTGCACGTGTCTGAAATTGAATTTTCTTTTTATATATGTTTTATTCATCAATATCGCCTTTTTAATTTATATTTTTGTGTTATTTGCGTGACAGCTATATTTTTTTTATCACAAACAGTACAAGATNCCCCCCCCGAATTAAAAAATTGTCTGTTATAGCTACACTGAATCAGGATGCTGACGTTTCCTCAGGATCACGTGATTTGTAGCGCTAGGAAAAGTGTAATTGTGTTTGTTTTAAAAGTAACTTGTGTTTCTTAAATGTCAGTTAGTTCAGAATTGAAAAAGAATCGGGAGAAAATCTGATTGCCAAGTCGTACAGTCTGTGTTATCGGTTAACCAGAGATCGAACAGCAAAAAAACAACAACACACATTTGAAAAGTTAAGATTTCACAGGGACCTAGCTCAGATCCCCACCTCAAGGTCTATATATATCTACTAGACATATATTGTATACATACACGGGCCGTGGGTTGGTTACGGTCCTTACATAACGTATTATTTAACATTTAAAATATACGGATTATGGGGTGGGGATCTCTAACACGCCCACATGAACAATGTCTGAACCGTTGGTAGCCATTTTCAATCCCACTTTGACATGAAAGGGAAAATGTCCCGGGACAAGAGAGGGATTAGAACCTGGGACGTTCGGGCGCTCTATTCGGTCACAGGCAGTCAACCATGCCACCATATTTATTAACATTCAGTTGGCATTTTTACCGAAAGTTGATCTAAACCCCTAAAACGAGTAACATTACTCTGAACAGCTTAGTTTAGATCCAAAGATAGCTGTAACAAATCCGCAGGTCCCTGTGATCCAGTTTCCAGTTTCGCGTTTATAAATACTTCCATTATCTGCTTTTAAAAGAAACATTTAATGGCTCGATAGCGCAACATCATTCTTCGTCAAATACTGCATGCCTATATATTATGTAAGGTGATGGTAATAGGAACGGTAGGTGGTATATATCTATAGTACATACTTAATAATGTACCTTAATCGCCCTTAGACGTCTTTTGTGATATATTACGTAAATGTCTGTCGTATGATTTCAGAATTAAAGCGAGCGTGCCGAGACATCATTTACACAGACCTCCTTAAAGACCACGATAACCTCAACAGTTCACTTAATTAATAACCTAATCCAGCGAAGCCGTCAATCAAGCTACTTAATTGTAAATATATACACAGAAAATCCGAAATAGATATTGGCAACACCGCACAACGTCCCAAGGGAGATAAATCCTAATTCTGAAAAACATAAGAATGTGTTATGGCCTGCTTAATTGTATTGGTTACGATTATTGAAATTCTATTTAAAGTAACACAAAACGTTAATGTAAATTCAGTCATCTGTGACATTTTGGACCTTGTGGAAATGTTCAGCGTGAATTTTGAAGATCTAAAACAGTCGTTGTTGTTAATTTCACGAAAGCTAAGGTCGATCGGGGAAATTTGGTATCCGGGGTAAATTCAGCCATTCCTGATAGGACCAAATGTTCACAGTTTTGAAGATCTAAGCTCTTTAATTGATTGGACAGACTCGTCATATGAATAATATGGTGCAAATAATTTATTATAAAGATACTAAATTACAGAAGACTGTTTTTTTTTAATTTAAAGAGGCAGAGGTGTAAGTGAAGGCCTAATTAGAAGCTACCTATATTTTAGTGTGATTAATTCCATTATGGTTTAATATGTTATGAAAAGGGTCTAGAATCATTTTACAATCAAAAGAAACGAGGATAAGGAAATAACAAGATGAATAACTTGATAAATTACCTAAACCATCTTCTATCCCCTGTTACTGGAGAAAATAGCCTGTACGTATTACAAAACAATATAATGACTCAAGGATTCCTCTCCTCATTTAAAAACTCTCTTACTAATTCTTCTTTCATATTTTCTTAACAAATCCAGCATATTTTATTTATTGCAGTGGTATTGATTTAAGTCAATGCCGATACTTTAACGAAATCACAAACATTATTAAAACCAAAGAAAACAATACGGATCTTTTTACAAACTTTTCTGTGTCTATCACAAATCACAAACTCCTTATAATTCAACCAAACTTCACTGTCTAAGTAAAACCTCTCTTTCTCTCTCTCTCTCTCTCTCTCTCTCTCTCTCTCTCTCTCTCTGTTTTTACTACAACTACATGAATAGCAACTTATCAAGATGATGCAAATGAGTAAGTTGTGGTTTCTTATATTGCCGTCATATATTTCAGGTCATCAAGAATTGCTGCTGATTCGAGTGGTAAAGAAAACATGTCAGCTACAATCCAAGCCCGCCGCTATTTGGTTCGCCAACCCGACAGCTATAGTGAAAAAAATGGCCGATAATGGAAGGAAAACACGACGTTAGTTAGAAAAATGCCGTGGATTGTGTGTTAGTTGCCGAAATCTTGAATATCGTACGAGTTGTATAAGGATATGAACCATCTTTCTGACATTTCAAATCTCAAATCAAGAGTTTTACATTTACTGAAATTCAGCCTGGTGATAAGAAAATGCCCATAAACGTCGAAAGGTACATATTTTCTTGGGAAAATATCACAACCTGAAACGTCAAGTATATATAAAAAAAAAAACTAATAATGAAGCATTCCCTTTAAAAAATAAATAAAAAATTACCATGCATTATTAAAAAATCGATCCAAGCGCCTGCAGTTATTTTCATAGATCAAAATTTCATCAAATATAGTTTCCTCATCAGACTTTGGTCATCACTTAGTGTACGTCAAACAGCACTGAGTGACACTGAAAGCGGCTCCCTGTATTCCTGTAGCGGGGCCGACCAAATAAAATGGTATATGTAAAATGACAGTCCATAGTATAGTAATCGCCATTTTTAATGTATATTTCATTGACAATAGCTCAACAAGATGTGAAAAGTAACTTGAAAAAATGTTAATGCATGGATCAATGTCCCTTTGATCGATCGATGCAAAACTTAGATTCTACTTCTGATGGTGTTTGAACCTCATAGTGCTTTAACAAGGAACAGACAGTCTTGGGCTCAAGATGGTACGCGTCAGGTCAGATTGGTGGTCGCTTAATGTAGCTGTGCTATTGAGCAGATAAGATTGTAGTGTCGTGATGCATCTGTATGGACTAGACAATGAATAATTAATAAAAGAAACCCACACAATTATATATTGTAGTCACACCATTATAGAAAAGTGCTATGCCTAGCGGATCACAGTATGTTGGTATAGTAAAACACAAAACATGGTACTTAAGGTAAAGGGTACCAATGCACAAGATTTCTTTTCTAGTTTTCTGTCTTTCTCGAGTTATTTCCCTTAGCAGTGTGATCATACGGAGCATTGCAATTCCTGGACTGTAACGTTGGTAAATTGTGATCGGTAATACATTTTGTACATAATTATGCACCAAGTTCGATATGGTTTTTTTTTGTTTATATTTTATGTTTATTTTTTATTTCCAAATATTTTAATTTCGAACGAATTTCATGCTGCAAAATACATTACATAATAAGTACTATCTGGAATACATCAACAGAAAAATGACAAATAATAGCGCAATTGCAAAAGATACGTATATTATCTAGGTGGTTATCTTTACCCTATTAGATACTAAAGGGCCCCAGACACGCTGGTTTAGGTCTAATAGTAAAAGACCACAGGGGTCCAACCTATTGGTATAGGCTTTAAGATAGTAGGATTAGTATACAAGCCTAATAGTACAAGGCCACAGTGACAAAATGTATCGATAAAGACCTAATGACAGTGGTCCTGTTATTTAGAAGATTCTGTAAAACCACTAGTCCTCTCTTTGGGGCCGCGGTGGCCAAGTGGTTAATGCGTCTGACATTCTGCTACCACTAGCCCTCCACCGCTGGGTCGCGGATTTAAGGCCTCGTGGGGCAGTCGCCAGGTACTGGTCGTAGGTTGGTGGTTTTTCTCCGGGTACTCCGGTTTCCCTCCACCACCAAAACCTGGAACGTCCTTAAACGAACATAGTTGTTAAAAGGACGTAAAACATAAACAAACCCTATATCGTCAAGCATGTGTCAAGGTGTATGGTTCGTTGGGTAATACTGTAACTTTTTGTCAGTACAGCGTAGTGTATACATATGTAGGTCTTATCATGAACAGAAAGTCATGTTGCCATTACATCAGATATATCTTTAATTGACCAATTATCCAACTCTAAGTAGGTATTTATATAAGTAAACTGGTTATAGATTAATAATTGGCATAGAAGGACAAACGATCGTTTGGCGAAGTCTGTGATCATTTAGCTCGTAAATAACCACCGTTCGTGTACATTTCTATACAATCCCGATCTCTATCGGCGAGTGTGGAAACACGAAGTCGAAGATATACTGAGAATG